ATCTGTAAGTAGCAGAATATGGAGTTTGCAGTGCAACCTGGAATTTGTCACCTGGACCCTCTGCAGATCAGGTAGGATCTTAACATTGAATCTTAATTGTTGAATCAATATGCAGACACAATCTAGACTCAAAAAATCATATAAAACAATACAAACCACTCACTCAATCCTTGGAGGAAGCTGACAATGATGGAATGTTCCTGGCCGTGGTGGGGGTCAGCAGCAGCTTGTGTCCAGGTTCCCCAGGCAGGACTGGTAACTGGTTGATTCTCCAGAGGGTGCTCCGCATGCTGTTACGCTGCCAGCTCTGCGGCAGGGCCAGCACCACCGGGCTGGCTGCGCCTGGGACCTTCATGGCCAGCAAGGGCAGTACTGGCCTGGCAGCCAGGAATCTTGAGGCCAGCAAGGAAGGGAAGAAAAAATCTGTTTTGTTTGTCAACTTGGTTCACAGGAGCTTCAGTCTGATGATGAGGGAAAGGGAATGAATTCATGGCCTGCTGGGTCAGAGAGCAGCTCATTGTCTTATACGTATATGTAATGCTATTTAAATGGCATTAGCTGTGATAACCACATTACCAGGAGACAGGAGCAGGGGCTGCCCGTCACATATGCCCCAAGGACAAAATACCTCCATGGGGTAAACACAAAATTTAAAAATATATTCAGACTTTACAATTCAGGAGTGCGTGTCCCTTTCACTATCTTGTGCATTTCCCAGCTTTCAAAATTAGAAGATGTTGCATTTCAAATGTTTGGTAAAAAGTGCCTTTAAGTAGCTTATCAGTGGGCTTACCTGCTTTGTTTTTAGTGAAGTATTTTCATTGGCTTTTTTTCCTCTTCCTTCAAGAAATCCAGTTTAGAAAAAAACCTAGAGTTTCTTACCATTACTGCTATCATAGGAGACCATGACAGTCTCCTATGACAGCAGTATCAAAACTAGTCTAAGTTACTAAGATTTGTCTTAGAAAGGGGTTAATTACAATCTTCACAGCCAATAGTCTGCTGCTCATATGGAACTCACTTAGCTCCAACCTCACCTGGATCTAAATTTCCTAAACGTTTGGTCCCCAACATGCTACCAACACCTTTAATACTATCTAGGTCCCTAAAACTCAGGCAGCCATACATGTCTCTCTGAGTAGCTAAAAGAGCATCTGTTTGTTCTTTAGGTCTTGGGTTTACATTTATGGCTAGATATCACATGCATTCCTGTGAAACTCAGAAAGTACGTGTCCTCATCCACTCTGAGCATTCTGGGGTAGGCTGATACTGCACATAACTGTACCTTGTACTACAGCAGACGTGCAGCAGCTCTGCATGCTCCGTGGAGAACTGGCAGAGCCAAGTGAGGAGCAGTCCCTGCTGCAGGGAAAGCTCCTGTGAAGAAGTCCCACCAGTGCTGCCATCTCCTGGCATTGCAGATTTACAGCAATAGCTTCGTGCGTGCTGCAGCGACTAGTGTAGAAAATTTTATTAGGGAATTAGTTTTATTATGGACTTGTTCAATATTTTGTGTTGCAGCACTAGACGATGGTTCTCACCTGGCTGGGAACAACCTAGGGGAAATGTCTGACACAGCAAAACTCCATCAAAAACTTCTGAAAGAATTAGTCTTGCTCAGATTGCAAATGAGAGGGAATCGGCTAGAGGATCTGGAGAAGGAAAAATATAACAGCATCAACCTTGACATTTCATTTTGCCCTGGTTCATCTCCACAAGCAACAACAGGAGAAAAGTGAATGAGAAGTGGCTCCTATCATTTCAAAGGCCAGATAACGTGAACCTTCTGACAACTCCCTGACAGTTGCTCCAACGCCTCGTCTGCAAACAGCACCTCATCACAATTCAATTGAACCCGGCCTAAGCAGCAGCTTTATAAATTTCAATATGCCACGTATGCCAAACCCCATCTCTATCCCAAATCCACACTTCTTGAAGAAGGACACGAAGGAACCTGATGCCCTAGCCTAGAAGCCAGGCTGGAGTACCCACCACGAGAGCCCTTGTGTCTCACCTGACAGATGGCAGATCAGACACTCTGCCTGACTGCTTGCCATTGTGCAGACACGTCTTGCTTGCATTTGTGAAAGGCTTTCGCAGACACACTTTTTGTCAATTCCTTTGTTTTCTGAAATACACTTTATTAAACCAACATGCAAGACTGCCGACGTGTGAGACTGCCAGGAGGAAGGTTAAGACAACTTATCTGAAAATGTTTACAAAATGTTCCCATTTTGAGGGGCTTAACCAAGTTGCTCTTTGTGCCAAAGATTATTTTTCTGCAATAAAACAAACATTAATTTTTTGAAAGTTTGCTGTCAACGAGTTGTTTTATAAAAGTAGCATTCCTATGGTTAACTTTGTGTACACACGTTAGAATCGTGCATTCTACATCGCTCAGGTTTTTTGGACAGGTGAGAGCCATAGTATAGCAAGTTACATTCCAGAATGTGTGCTAACACTTCTTTGTGCCTGAATACGCTCTCACAACACGTTTGATGCTTGAAGGGATACAGCTGTGTGTACTTCACAAGAGAACCTCACAATAACTGCGGGGAGGAGTAAACCGTCAATGCATTCTCTTGATTTGGGTAATGGAAAGGAATCAATTCAATGTCTGACCTTCCAACTGAATGTACCTAATGTGCACAACAACGTAATGGGAAATATGCCTTTCAAGAATTATTCTGAACTATTAATGTGATGACTAAATTCTGAAACCTCACTGACAAAAAAGTTATTCAAACAGAAGAATAAGGACTCCACATATTAATGCAAAAGAGACTTGCCAGTACTGGGTTTATAACGAAAATGTATTTTGGCCCAACTTAGTATTCACCCAAATAGGTGCAAATCAATTTGATCCAGTAAAAATATAGCTGCTGAACTAGAGTGAGTTTATTTTCTCACCACTAATTCACATTAAGTATTTAACCAAAGAGGTTTTTTAAACAAGAAACAAATGATACATTCCATTCTTCCCTGTTACACCAGTGGGAGCTCTGCACACAGGAGATAAGAAATTTTTCTTTTCCCCACCCCCCCACCAGTGATCACACACACTTAACCTTTAGCCTGCAATTACTTAGTAGTATTCATTTGCCTGGGAAGACTGGAAAAATGTAGTAACAGCCAAAGATTAGAGCATAACAATCACAATCTTTAAAAATAAAATTCAACAAAACCAAAAGAAGTGTTTGAGCAAACGACCTGCTACTGATGTAACTGCTCAGAACTCTTTCCTATCTTAAAGAAAACAAATAGTCCAAAAGTTAAATCTAAGACTATATAAAACAGACACAGCAGGCAAAAAAACTAACTTGAGAACTAAAACCCAGAGAAGAGCATCTCTAGGCAACAGCACAGTATATTTCATGGGCCTTCCTCAACTATACAACTATAGCAAACAATTATTACACACCCAACATAAACTGATGAACACCATAAAGAGAAGAGCCTGAAGTTAAAGGACCAGCAGGCTATAGACAGCCTGAAGACAGAAGGATTTGCTCGTAGTAAAGACAGATTGTCAGGTGTTTGGCTCTAGAGCTGATTCATCCCCATAGAACAAAAGGCCCTTCACACTAGTCCTCTTAATGTTTTGATGCAAAACCACAGAAATCATTCAGAATGAAACAGCAAGTGGAAAAAGCACTAGATTTCTAGCTCAAGCAGACAGAGGAAAAGTACTTCACTTTCAGAAAATGCATCTTAATTACAGTAAAAGGACAAGCAGCTGCTTTTAGACACACCACCCTGCCCATGATGTTATAACAGAACTTCTGGGCATGAAAACGTATTTAGTAACAATTTTATTTCAAATGTAGCATGAATACATAATTGTTAAGTGTTACACCATACAGTTTTACAGAGAATTTGTACAATATGACAGGCATTTCTATACTATGCATTTCAAACAAACAATAGTTTATTTCTAAAAACAACCCACAACTTTGGCATGTATACAACTGGCTAGTTAAAAGTAAACAGTGGTAGAGTCAAGTCAGACAGAGACCCACTTGTTTTGTTTCACAGCATTTTTGATCAGGATGAAACTCAACAGCACTATTTTCTAATTGACAGAAAAATGACTACTTTTTTTTCAGTCCAGAAACCACTGTTAAGGAACAAAAACATGTTAAGAGAGATGTAAGGGAACCAACTTTTAACTCTAAAAGGTGCCAGTTTTAAAGCAGTTGAGGCCATAAGCATTTTGCATACATTGGTCTGGTCACAAACAAAAATTCTTCAGTGGTTTGCTTGTACTGCTGAACTCTACCCCTTGGCACCACTGCCAGGCTCTCCTCTGAACTAGAATAAAGTCAGTACTGCTGCCCTAACTGTCATCTTCACTGCTGCAGTGCAAGGAAAAAACTAGAGTAGAATTTGCACTGTGATCATCTTGAGTTTGTCACAGCTGTTGGCCACTTACCTACTAACCAATTCACCCAAAAAAAGACAGAAAACAATTGTGAAAGCATTTCTTCCTGGCATACAGTGGACAGTATTTCCATTTTAAAAATTACAAAGCCATGAAAAAAACCCTGAATAATAAGCAGAGACAAGCCCCCTTTGCGAAGAATGACTTGCAATTCTCCAAGTACTTACAAAAACTACAGTATTTGTACAACTTCTCCAGAACTATTATAATTAACATATTTTAAGGTAGTACTCATAAAATAAATCCATAGATACAAACAGTTGCAATTCTAAGAAGGAATGTCTAATCCAGATTTTGCTGCAATTTCATTATTGCTGTGGAACAGACAATGGTTAAGTCCTATGAAGATGAGCCTCTTTCTTACACACACTGGAAAATCTCATTTGAAAAAACGTTCTCCAGCAACTCAGAATACATGTAATTTAATTTTTACAGTTCCTACTAAACATTAGTGATCCAAAGTTGACTGAACCATGGTGTAATAGGGCACAAATGGTAGAAGAACAGTGGAGCAGAGGCAGGAAAGGCAGAAGAAACAGTAGAGTAACAAGTCAGACTCATACTCACTACTTCTTATTCCTTGGCTTTAACTCTTCTGCTGCATTTCGCAGAAATATGTAGTTTTTCTTTTGTGGGTTATAAAATTCATGGCCCTAAAAAGAAAAATCATCTGTATTTACTCTCTTCAAAGAAGAAATATACTCTTAGATTTTTAAGGTAATGCTGACAAATATTAGTTTGGTTTATTAAGATTTCATCTTAAAGTCTTTAAGGCTAGTTATTGGACAACATTGGTGGGATAGGAACAGCTTACTATAACAAGTAATTACAAGAACTGTGCATATAAAGTAAAATTTAAGGGACATTTAGCCATTTTTAAGCTATCAAAATGACTTTTCATAGAACCCCCCCCACATCTCTAAATTCTAGTTCATAGACACGGCACAGGAGCACAATATGGTTTTTTTAGCAAATGTCATTCTAGGCAGAGAAGAAACTAAAACTTTAATGGCTACACAGTTTAACTTTGTATTTTCTACCTTTTAAATGAAATAAGGTCTCAACTTTCCAAAGGGAAGCCCAAGTTCTAAAGGGAACTGTAAAAATATCTGCTCCCCAGCTGCAGATGCAAATATACTGTTTTGCATATTGAAATTATTTGCATATGTATTCCTGACTCAATATGTAAGGATTCAAGGCAGTGAAAGTAAACACTAGTAAAGCTATTAAAGTCCAACTCACAAGGTGAAAATTACTAATTCCACTTGACAGACCTGGTTCTAGAGAGGAAATTTAGTACCTACTGGTTTTACTACTTAATCTAGGTCGATAGACGAGGAAGATACCTTGGTATGTATCTACCACTGCAGTCCCTCCAAGCACTTAGAACAGGACAATTCATCTATCCTAGCATCTATAAAGTTATCTTACTCGGGGCAGCATCCGCAAGAATAGATATAACGCAGTAAGTTAAAATTCTGCTCTTTGTGGCATGAAATCAGGTTCATCTGTGTGATTTCTGCATCCAATTCAGCCAAAAACAAGGAATATCGTCCTCAAATTTAAAAGCATTCTTTAAACAAGAAGATAATACTTTTAATAGACATTGCCATTCCATTAAGATCAGGTACATTTCAACCTTGCTACACCTTTCTTAAACTATTAATAATTATTGATTATCTACACATTATTTGTTGTGATTCTCTTGCATCTAATGATTTATTGTTGAGTCAAGTTTGGAAGAACAACATATAAATAAGCGGAAGCACAAGCTGTGCTGAATGGCTACTGGAAGTTTAGTACACAGCATTCAAGCCCTGGTTGAAGTGTTTAAAACCATGGTCATTGCTCTTTTTAAAGGTAGAGACTCTGCAGAAGAAGCAGTAATGTGTATTTCAGAGACATTTGTGGGAGCCTGTTAAGTCACCACACGGCCCCATGACACTCCCCACAGCAGAACGTGTGAGCAACCAGGACAGCCCAAGTCATGTCATTTACATTTTGCTCACCCACATTTGCAAAATAACATTGCTTAGCAATCTTACCCCAGTGAAGCTAAAACCCAAAGAATGCACTGCTTCAGCAGCCCACTGCAGCAGATGGCTACATCCATGAAGTTCTCTCACATGCTTGTGAAGTTAGAAAGACTCAGCTAATATTTATAAAGAACAGTGAAAGCCCCACGGGAGAAGGACAGTGTCCAGCTGCAGGTATGAATGTGAGTCTCAACCTTTCCTACCTTTGACCAATCGTAACTGGAAGAATATGCAAATATATTGCCATTATGGTTGAAGCAACACGCAGATATCGGCTGGTCGAGTTGTTCTGAGGTTTTTAGCTTTGTCCGTGCATCTTTATCCCAAAAGCTGAATCTACCATCAGATCCCACTGTTGCAAGTGTACCGTGGACAGGGTGAAATGCTATCCCATTTACCTGCACAATCATGAAAAGTACAATGTACAACACCACACGTGGGAACACTCACAACACAGGTGATGAATCCTGAGAGAGTAAATACACAGGAAGGATTTTTTTCAACTAGATATAGTTCTTATTTTTAAAAAATGTTTCCACATGCATTCTCTGAAAAAAAAAAAAAAAAAAAACACCCACCAAAGCAATAAAGAAAGCATCACTTTTGGAGTACCTAAAAATTCAGTGTATGATCCCACTACGTAGATACATTAAGTATTGCTTCAATATCAGCAAAATTAATAAGTGTTGCCTCCACCAAGATTATTTAATGAATGCTTGATCTGGTGCTTGTTTTAGAGGAAGTACAAAAATTTGCCTTTCCCTCTTAATGTAGGACTAATTTTTAAACACACGTGTAAGATTACTTTAGGCAAGATAAAAGGTCAAAGAGAACCAACAATTCATATCCAATTTTACATAAGAGTCAATAAAGAGTATGTGCCTCCATAAAAGATCTAGTGGGCTATGCTGAATACTTACAGCATAGATATCCTGAGGTGCTGATGTGTTTGTTCCATTGGAGCGATGACATTTAAAAGTGAAATTATCTTTTGCACTAGGAAGGGGGAAAAAAAAAAAAAAAAGCCTTTTTACTTTCCTCATTGTAAACTGAGCAATAAAGAAAGGATATTTTATTAAATGATACTTACGGATTTGGGGGGTTGATATAATGAATAGCTACTCTCCCTTCAATACTTCCAAGGGCAAATCCAGTAGGTTTGTTCACTTTGTCTTTAAAAATAGCAACGCAGCGATGCTAAATTTGAGAAAGATACAGAGGATTTTAGACAGAGGCCTGAGGGCCAGACTTTCTGAATGCTGCCTGTTTTCTATGAGGACACAAGAATAACACAGGTATCAATGCAAAGTAAAGCAAAAACACAATGTCAAGAAATATGTCAAATTCTATTGAGAATTTTGGTCACAATATTTACATTTCTAAACCACTATGATGATCAGCAACAGTTCAATGGCAAACCAGGACATGTGCCACAGCAAAATAAAGTACTCTGGTTCTGAGAAGCTGTTTTTACCAAAAAATGGCAAGCCCAGAATTTCAACAGTCTGTATAAATACGCTTTTAATAAATGTGATCATTTACCTGGTGTTTAAGAGGAGATTCTATTCTTCTAAATTCAGAAGGTTGATTCTCTAACTGATACACTATCAAGCCCCTTTCTGCAGTGGCCACAGCAGCCATAGGATAAACCTAGATAAGGTTGTAAAATAGGTTGAAAGAGAGACACTTGTATTAATAGCATGGCAGAGAATTCTATTTACTACTTCGCAGAAATCCCTGAAGAAGTTAAAGGGATTAGACTATTTTCTGGGGATTAGAGAGGGAAAAAAAAGAATGGAACGAACAAAATTAATTTGTAGAGATATCTTCAAACAAAACTATATCAGTTCTTCCCTGCCATCGGAAAACTAAACTTATCAAACATCTTCTAATTAGTAGCTGACCCTTCCAAGGTGAATCACAGTAGTGGTAACGCAAACTCACACAGAAATGAGGGTACATCAGCTCAAGTGCTCACTTGGGTTTGTGATGATAAAAGGATACTAAGTGAGTTATATATGATGCAAATAACTGTTCCCCAGAGGCTGATCAAGATCATTTATGTCTTACTGCTAAAGTCCCACAGAGATTGAATATTATTCTATGATTCCATACGAACAGTGGGAATTCAGTGCTAAGCTATGGAAGCCTCAAAAACTGCCAGTTTATTCACCCTCCCCAAAACCCAGCTGACCCTAGTTTACCAGGTATCATGGCTTACCACATCTGCACAGTAACATCTCTCAGGGAGCTGCAGTGTCATCATCGGTGTTGGTGAACGGGTATCCCAGAACTGAGGGAAACAAAAAAATGAACAAACTTATGCTTGGGGTTGAGGATACACCATTTAAATTGCTTTAGGAAGAGAATGCAGTTGGTACCAAGTTGTTTCAGTGTTGTCTATGGTCGGAATACTTCCAGTCTCTGGGAAGTGAGGCTGGTTCATTTATCCAGCTTTTGTATTAGTGTTTAATACAATATTTTCATACACAGATTACTAGCACACTTTGTGTTCATACCTTCAATGTTTTATCCCAGCTTCCTGTCATCACACAGCTGTAATTTGGTGCTTTAATCCAATGGATAGTTTTCACAGGAGCATCATGCTAAAGAAAAAAAAGGACGTACATACATACATTTACTAAGGTAACAGCCCACATTTCTTGTTTATGCTCCTCATATTTATACTTTTTATTCATTCAAGAAAAGTGACGCATTATTTCAGTCACAGCAGTTGGAAGTTGGTCATGACCTTATTGTGTTGTTTAGTGCTGTAAAATCACCCACCTAAGAAAAAAAATGACACAAAGAACTACAATCAAGTCATCCTATACAGGAAGACTGTCACGGCAGAAATCGTAATTATGAACAGCAGAATTTTCTACTTATTTATAAAGGATATTTTCCATCATGCTAAAAACCAATACTAATATAGTATGTTATTTATTACATACTAATATAAAACCCAGCTTCTTCTGACATGCGCTACAGAAGAACAGCCTATGTTAATTACACTAACAAGATTTTAAAATCAAGGCTGAGAACCTGAACATTATCATGTCAAATAAAATATAAGAAACAATCACTGAAAGGATTCTTAGATTTTTTTCTTCTTAGATTATATAACTAGCAACTAATTTTGGTCACCTAACTACATTTTCTATTAACACATTCACTTCTAAATCCAGACATCCACTTCTGAATCAAGAATGTAAATTATAATCCCTGCTACCGCTGCAGCAGAAAGCTGGTATTTGTGAAAGGGAATTCAATGACTTCTTCATTATTTTCTCTACAATGCAGCAGGGTGAATTAGTGAAATCACAGCAGCAATGGAAAGAGCTTGTTCAAGTAAAAGAGGAAAACAGTTGCACAGGTTATTTGAATAACTTTGCCCGCTCCCTATTCATGTGCACCTCATTATCTCAAAACTACAAAAAGTACCCTACATCCTCTTCTTCATATAACAGTATCTACTTTAGAAGCACTGAACTACTTAATATGCGAATAAAGGTCATTTTTAATAAAAACAGAACAGGAAAAAAAAGACCTAGCAGCTTGGGGCTCGCTTACTTGTGCAATCTGAATAGCTTGATTACTGTTGAGATCCCACATTTTGGCAGTTTTATCACAGGAGGCAGTAAATACTTTACTCCCATCCTGAAAAACAAGAGTAAGGCCACGTGATTAAATAGCTCTTATCATGCAGTATTTATTAGAAAACTATCAAATCTTATTCTCTTCTAGAACTAGCGTAACATTAATGTAACATCTACAGTGATTTAAAGACAAAGAATAAACATGAAAATGTTATTTTATTTATAACTGTTGCAGAAGAGGAAACTATGCTAACTATTATGTAGCTTTAAGTGCATTCTTACTTTTAAACTCAATTTTACCCTTTTTCTGTCCTATTCTATTAGGACATGCTTACAACATATTTCCACTTACAAGCTTACACAATAATCACAGGCTGCATCTACGTGTGGCACTCCTGTCTGTTTGCAAGTAGCATGCCAATTTATCTAGGTTTTTGGTAAAAACTTTTTATTTTTAAATAGGAACATACATCACTCCAGCAGCCATCTAGCACAGGCCCTGTGTGCATCTGCTGAGCCTTTGGAATTGTCTGTCCATTATCTTGCACTTCCCAGCAGCGAACCTGTAACAGAAATGTACACAGACATAGTAACAATAAGAACTCAATAGATTTCTCCTCTTGAAGATCCCAGCCTCAGTTTATCCAAAAAAAATTATGATTATAAACAGCAAATTCTTTTCAAGACTAGTGAAACCTTATTTTCTCTGATTATGTTCCTTTTATCTGCACAGCCACAACTTCAACCCGATGTCAAAAGCACCTTACGATCACCTAACACCTTCCAGTGCTCCCCTGGAAAACCCTTAATCATCAGCTACGACAAAGCTGCCTGCTACAGGCTACCAGCCAACAGACCCAAAAGAACACTTAAAAATGCGCCCACGTTTGTTTTCCTCTCTATTTGTGCCAGCTGGGATCTCATCCTTCAACCCAAACAAAGCTCAATAAGGTTGTAGAACTGCATCTTTTTGAGACTACTGTCCAACTAGATTATTTACTATTGCGTTCATGGTTCTTCCACCAGGCACAGCATAACTGCATTAGCCTAAGCATGTAAGAAAACGAAACTAAACCCCAGCAAGTAGGAAAAAGAAAAATTCAGCTAATAAAATCTAATGTGGAAAGCACTGACTACATATTCTGAGCTGAGGTTTAAAACGTGCAAGCAGAAGAATGACTTATCTGAAGATCACAACTGAACTGGTCAGCTGAAGCAGCTCAGCTATGTCAAACTCGGCATCAGACAAAAATTTTTGCAGTTCTGCAACAAGAAGATTTTCAGGTGCCCTGGCACAAGTTTTTATGCTCATGTTCTGCAGTTTAGGCACCAATGCTCCCACTTTATTCATGTGTAGGTCTGATGTGAGTACTTACATCATTTGCCCATGACCCTGCAATGAGGAAATTACCCGGCAATGTCGGCGGACTAAATGCTAAACAAGATATGCTGTCATCAGGTGGAGATGTTACTTCAATATCCTATAAAGCATAGAAGACAAAACAAAAAAGTTGAAAACTGCTCTGAGCCCCTGCCACTCCGCAGGGTGAGTTAGCAGGTGTGCTGTGACATGTTAGAACTCAGAAGGGTGGCTCCCAGGGGACTGAGGCACGTACCTTCATTGGGTTATGGTTGTCTGCAGTCGTGCTGCCAAACATGCTGGTTGCTCCAGCACCGAACCCTGATGTTGATCCAAACAGACTCATCCTCGCCCTGCAAACGAGGAAAAGGATTCCTGAG